GGACACTGGGAAGAGATAACTCAGGAGGAAGTGGAAGGGGAGCTGATGCATGGGGTTAATCATAGTCAATGTCATAACAAAATGTATGTGAACTGCTGTAAGGAAAGTAAATTTGCTCTGTAAGTTTTCCCCCAAAATCACAATTGAAAAAAAATAAAAAATAAAAGATTCTCTCTCCAAATTTAAACAGAGAAAGCTAATCAGTGGCAACATTAATTGGAGCCTCAGTCTCTAAAGCAATACTTTCCCCACAAACCCTTTCTTGAATAGAAAAAATAAAAACAAAAAAGAGGAGAAGCAGTAAGGCTACACACATAAGAAAAAAAGCTGGCAAGGGACAATGATTATGAAGCAATTATATATATAATAGTTACATTGCTCTTATTGTGAGACTTCAGTACTTTTGGATCTTTAGGAAAGGTCTAACCCACTGCCATCACAGAGACCTCCCACAGGGTTTCCATGTCTGTAAATCTTTATAGGAGTAGACTGCCAATAGTGCTCCCACAGAGAAACTGGTAAGTTTGAACTGCCAGACTCTGGTTAGCAACCAAATGCCTTACCCACTGAGCCACCAGGTAGCCTCTATTGCTCAGGTCATGTCTCTTTATGGGCATGGAGCAATTGAGCAACTATGTACCTCAAGCTTGAGGATGACAAAAACCCAACTGACTGCTGTTTAGTCGATTGTGACTCATGGCAACCCTACTGGACAGAACAGAACTGCCTCATGGGGTTTCCAAGGTTGTAAATCTTTACAGAAGCAGATTGCCACATCTTTTTCCCACAGAATGGCTGGTGGGTTTGAACTGCCAACCTTTCAGTTAGAAGTTGAGCACCTAACCACTGTGACACCAAGACTCTCTCAAGAATATAAGAGAGAGGAAAAAGGAAAGCATCACAAAGTAGCCTGGTAGAGGTAAAGAGATCAAAATCTCTTGAGAGTTTCCCTCCATCCATTCCTCCCAAGGTAAACCTCTTATTAATAGCAATCCTTTTGCTGGCCTGACAAGATCAAAATACATTTTACTTAGAAGGCTTGAGCAGCATTTATGAATAAACAAAATGTAAACACAAATGCAGTGGGGAAAAGATGAATAACTGAATAAATGAGCTATTTCTTTAAAAAGATAAGTTGAAAATTGATTCCTGTGAACATATGACTCCTCAGGAGCAGATGTTAGGTTGACTTTTATCATCATTATTATTACTGTTATTATTATTGTTGTTGTTCTGATTAAAGAAGTTAAATGAAATATGTAGAATCTATGGAGGATAGCTTTGTGGTTTACTACAGCTTTCATATTTACTACCAAATGTAAATCTTCTTCTATTCAGTTAGAAAAACAACAGGGAGGAGATTTCAAATAAATCATGGAATAAATTGTCAGTTCCAAAAATAATAGAGTTTAAATCCATTAGAATACACCAGGTATTGATTCAAAGACCATAATACACTGAAACCTGTGAGAATAGAAACTCAAATGGTCTGCCTTGTTTTTCCAGGTCTCTCAAGTGTTCTGCCTTTAACAGGGTGCAGTCTTACCACTTTCCTATTGCTATCTAGTAATAAAAAATATTTGAGTTTTCCTTCTCTGACAAGTTTCCACCTTACACAGGTTTTGGATTTTTTACTATATATAATTTAGTTCAACAATCAGTGAGTTCTGGGGAGTGAAACTATATTTATTTGTTTGTCACTATATTCTCAGCCTCTATCACAAACCTTGGAATGTAATTTATGCTCAAATATTAACTAAAAGAAATTGCCAACATGAGGCACTCCCTTGTATTCTTAATTATCTTAAATTTTAAAAATTAAACAAAAAATTAATATAAGAGAACACAACATGGTAAAAAGAAATTCATTGGACACATACAAGCAAGACAATGGGAATAAAATATCTGAAAGGGCATGTTGTAAAAAGATATGAAAATACAGTAAGAACACTATTAGGGATAAGATTTTAAACCATTAACATATAAAGAAAACCCTTGTGCCATTCCTAGCTATCTATAAAGTAACACGTTTTCAAAAACAACTTGGTTCTCTGGGAATATCAAGATTATTTATAGCTACATTTCAAAAAGATGTTACCCAATGAAGAAGACTCTGAGGGGCAAGCTGGCACAGATAAGGAAAATAGAGATGCCTGTAGATGAATGTTTAAATGAATAAAAATGACTTTTGAAATGATCAGATAAGAAAATAAAATTGTGGTTTCAGTGTGTGTGTGTGTGTATGTTTAATGTACACACTTAGGGCTATTAATGGTCTCCTTTGACATTTTCTTTTTTTAACTTTTTATTGTGATTTGGATGAAAGTTTACAGAAAAAATTGGTTTTCCATTCAACTATTCATACACATTTTGATTTCTGACAATGATTGCAATTCCCACAACCTAACAACACTCCTTCCACTTCCTCCCTATATTTCCTGTTTCCATTCTTCTTTCTTTCCTATCCCTTCCTGTCTTCTGAGCTTTATCTCTGGGCAAAGGCTGCCTTTCTGATCTCTTATGGTTGATTTTTCTAATAAGTGGTACCTCCCTGGTGCTACTACTGTTTACTTTAGACCTGTTTATGGTTTGGCTGAAAGTTGGGCCATAGGGTGATTTCAGTTCCAGGCCTGAAGGGTGTCTAAGGGCCATAATCTTGGGGCTTCCTCCAGACTCTATCAGACTAGTAAGACTGGTCTATGTATATATATAAAAGAGTTTGAGTTTTGTTCCATATATCTCTCCTCTATCCAGGACCTCCTATTCTGATCGATTTTAGAGAGGTCAGCAGTGACAGCTGGGCACCGTTCTTCTGGTCTAATGATCATGGAGGCTGGGTTCACATGGTCCATTAGTCCTTTGGACTAGTTGTTTCTCATATCTTTGATTTTCTTCCCTATTCTTTGTTCCAGAGGGGAGAGACCAATAGTTGCAACTTGGATGGGTGCTCACAAGCTTTTTAGACCCCAGTTGCTACTCAACAAAGTAGGGTGTACAATACTGTCTTTGTGGACTATGTTATGCCAACTGACCTTGCTGTCCCCTGTCTTGAACCCCAAGGTCCAGCAACTCATTCCCTCAAGGTGTTTGGTTATGGCTAAGAGGTTTTCATATCTTTGGCCCCACATGTTCTACTATATTCATGGATCCTGCATGAATATTCTACATTTTGTAGAATAAAATTTTTTCAAAGAAAGTTTTCTAGTCATAAAGAGCTCTGGTGGCAGAGTGGTTAAAGCATTTAGCTGCTAACTAAAAGGTCAGCAGTTCAAAACCACCATGCACTCTGTGGGAGAAAGCTGAGGCAGTCTGCTTCCATAAAGATTTATAGCCTTGGAAACCCTATGGGACACTTCTACTTTATCCTATAGGGTGCTACTGGGCAGAACAGGCCTGATGGCAGTGGGTTTTGTTTTGTTTTCCAGTTATACACACATGAGATGGACAATTAAGACAATGAATCTTCCATAATGAAAACAAACACACACTCACTTGTTGTTGTTGTTGTTTTTTGCCATCGAGTTGGCTCCGACTCATAGTGACCCCTCCTTGGGTTTTCGAGGCAGTATCACTACGGAAGTAGGATTGCCCAATCTTCCTTCCGAGGAGTGGCTGGTGGGTTTGAACCGCCAGCCTTCTGGTTAGCAGTCAAGTGCCTTAGGCACTATGCTACCAGAGCTCCTACACACTATCTAGACCAAATTTAGACTTGCCCTAAAGGGCTAAAAGGGAGCTCTGGTAGCAAAGTGCCTAATGCACTTGACTGATAACCAGAAGGCTGGCGGTTCAAACCCGCCAGCCACTCCTCGGAAGGAAGATGGGGCAATCTACTTCCGTAGTGATCCTGCCTCGGAAACCCAAGGAGGGGTCGCTATGAGTCGGGTCCGACTCCACGGCACATAACAACAACAACAACAAAGGGCTAAAAGAGGTAAATGAAAATCAGACCACTTCCATAAAATGCTGCTTATAAGTGGGTTCAGTTCCTAAGGTTAGCTTAAGTATCTTTGATTTTCTTCCCTATTCTTTGTTCCAGAGGGGAGAGACCAATAGTTGCAACTTGGATGGGTGCTCACAAGCACCCATTTTAGATTCTTCACTTTTCAATTGGACCTTAAAGAAAGGGCTAACCTTAGGAAAAGGACTGAAATGGATGACTGGAAACTTTTGATAATTTTGAAGCCAAATAGCAATGAAAACATAGAGGGAAAAGTTACTTTGGAAAAATCTTAGTGTTAGGAAAGGCAGACTGCCCATCTATGGAGAATGAGCGGGACAAATACAGATAAAGTGACAGTTAATCTGCAGTATAACTCTAAGCCCAAAATAACTTCAGTTCTCTTCATTAAAGCAATGAATTGAAGTCCAGGTAGATAGTTGTCTTAATCTGATATCCATGTTCGACTAAGGCCTGTGCCAAGAACCTTGCCAAGTTTATGGCAGAGTAAGTTTATCTCATTAGTGGCAGACTGCATTTTGTATAATGGTTATGTTATATGTGTAGACTGTGTTGTATCCCACATTTACTTTGCATTTTGAAATATAAATATATGTAAATGTAAACATAAAATTTTATACATGGTAATATCTGATTCTTTTTATACACCATCATAGCCAACAACATTTTTAGAAACAGGAAGAAATTTCTTATGTCTCCTACCTATCCCTGAGAATGGTCCAGAGTTCCCCACCTAGGCAAGCTTCCATCAACATGTACAAATATTTGCTGTCCTTGAATGTTCTGTATAGTCTGTAAGTTACAAACAAGAAAAATATAGGTATAAACATTACTGTCTTTGGAAGCATATAAATGTTTTGAGTGCCCACATTATTGTCATATTCACGATTCACAAGCTTGAAATTTCATCAGAAGGAGAGAGATCTAACTCCACAGACAGGGGAAAAGGAACCAGAATGAGTGATTACACACAAAGAAGACTTCTTGGTATCCCTCCAATTCCAATTTTACTGCTGTTGAAGCATAAACCCCTGAGTGATATTTCGTCATTATCAACATGCCAGTATACAGAAATAGAAAGTAGATTCTACTTTGCAAATACAGGCATCTGTGGAATTTAGGTGCTGCTGACATAAGTTCAGTGTCTTTTCAGCAAGTACCACCAGCAAAGTAGTTAGAAAAGCTTCTCTTGTATATAAAAAACTCCCCATTATCCTCTTATCAGTGCTTTCCAAATATAGAGGCAGAAAGATAGGCTGCCATTTTTGTTTTTAAAATCTTCAAAAAATATTCAAATAATTAAAGGTTAGTTTGATTTTTTAATATTTTGTGTTTTAAGTACCCGTGGTTCATGTGTAATTTGAAGTAACAGAGGATAAAAATGGAATGTTAGAAATTCTCACACCTCTTCTGAGAAAAACACATTCTTTACAAAGAACGTGATTCTCTTGGGGGAGAAAATAGAATAAAAACTTTAGTGTTTTCTCAATCAAAGAAAATTATCTTAAGATCAGATCAAGAAAAATAATTTCCTTGTGTTAATAAAGCATGTAGCAGTGAGCACGCATGGCAGAGGTTCTGTGGTTGGCTTGGCACTTGAGGCCTCCCATCCCAGGATCAGAACTCCTACCTGACGATGAAGTCGGAATGAGCACCCTGCATGATCTGCTTCTCTGAGCGGATGTGCTCCTGCTGTCTGGTATCCACAATATGGCGCTTCTTGAGGATCTTCATGGCAAACGTTTTAGATTCTTCACTTTTCAATTGGACCTTAAAGAAAGACAGAAAGGATTAAATGAGGGAAAGCTTGTATAGATAATATAACAGAGTGCATTCTTCTCCCCAAAATACAAGTGGGTCGAACACTTAAATGATGCCCAACTACACCTGAGTCATATAGTAAATCCTTGCTAGAGCTGGGTTTGAACTCTGGGCTTCACAAATGTAGTTCAATTTCTTTCCACTGGATCAGGTGAATTTCAACTAACTGGATTTGAAATTAATCTTGTGTTTACTTGGATAAGAAGAGGGAAAGTGTACTTGATTCTCCCTGTATTATTTATTTTATATAATGTGTGTGAATATATTCTATAGTTCATTTTTTTGCTTTTTTTCCTTCAATCAAAAAATTAGCAATAGAAGCTAATTTATTTTCTAATTTTTCTTCAGGTGAGTGCACTAAAGGTAAAATCATATGGATCTTCTTCCTATTTCCTGGTCCTAACTCATAGGCTTTTCAAGAATTATCAGGTACAGTGACAGGTCTTTGTCTCTTCCAAGACAGCAGAAATATGTACCATTATTTCTGCTCTCTTTACCTCCTAATCTTTCTCTTTCTTCCAGTTTAAATATATATATATATATATATATATATATATATATATATATATGTGTGTGTGTGTGTGTGTGTGTGTGTGTGTATATATATATATAAAGATTTTTTTCATGAGATTTTTGAACCCCCACCCCCTTTTTTTTCTTCCTAGACCTATAGGATGACTATTCTCCTCTGATCTCAAAACTTACTTTTCAGTTATAGTAACTGGGGAGACCTAAGCTGAGCTTGGAATCCCTAGGTGGTACAAACTGGTAACGTACTTGGCTCCTCACTGAAAGATTGCTCTGATGATCTACTTCTGAAAAATAAGCCATCAAAACCCCCCTGGAGTGTAGTTCTGCTCTGACACACGTAGGGTTTCCAAGAGTTGGAATCAACTTCTCACCAGCTAATTACTGCCTGAAGTCACCATGCATCCATTCTTCATTGCAGACCTACATGCCTCCCAACGGGTCTTGAGTGGGTTAGGGCCCTACAAATACCATTTCTCACACCAGGTGTTTTCTTGTTTTACTTCCTTACAAGAAACTTCAACTAACTGAATTGTAAGGAAAGGAAGAGAGATAATAGAGCTAATCACTTAATAACAATGTAAGAGAGTATCACTGAGTGCCCTTTGGCAGCAGGATCCTCAAACCAACATAGAACAGTTCACATCATTCTGAACTAATGAAAGCAATGGAGAAGTAACATGATAAGTATTTCTGTTTTCCAGCTGAAGTATAGTTGTCCCCAAAGTTCCTAAGTGCCTTGTTTATGCACACATATACAAATTGAATTCAATCTGGGAGGACATTAATTTAGGAAGTTCCTCAGGAGGGAACATGAGGACACTTCAAATAAATGGACCATGGTTTGCTGCCGGCATCTGTGAATCTGGATGACAGATTAGAGGGGAAAATAGATACTTGAAAATGTCTCTAATAGCCGAAGGCCTCTATTCTGCCTGTGAAACTCTTTAAGGTATCAGATTAGTGAAACATAAATGAATTCATTCACAGTTCATAATATAACAAAATTTGAAAACTCACTTCCAAAAGAAATCTGGACACATAGGAAAGATGACATACAAAATGAGCTTTGTCAGAAAAGAAGAAATAAAATCATATTTCCTCCTCCAAGTCAATTCTAGTTAAATCCCCAAGGACTCTTGCATAGTTCACAAAACTGACGCTAAGATATAGTGGTGGTAACACACAATTTAAACTTGTGCAGAGGGTGGGAGTTAAGAATCTGGCTTTAGTATCACTAGGGTCTGGGCTGGAATCCTAAGTCCACTTAGTCTCTGTCAGTGTTGTGGCCCAGTAGCTTAATTTCTCCAAGCTCTCATTTCTTCTAATGATAACACCACACAAAGTTGTTGTGATCTTAAATGAGAATTTGGCAGCAGATGGGCAATTGATGCCTCTGCTCATACCTTTGCCCTACTCAGCAATTTCTTTTAGATAGAATAGAACTAGTATTTCTTTTCAAACAAAGTCATATCGTGGCATTGCTCTACTTAGACCCCTCCAATAGTTTCCCATTTCATTCATAATAAAGACAAAGCCATTGCAAAGATCAAAAAGATCTAGCATCATATAGATTCCTGCTACCCTTTAGAATTCACTTTTCCCCACTCATCTGCTCCAGTTGCATGGGTCAGTTTATTGTTTGTTCAGCATATCAAGCAAGTTCCTGCCACAGGCCATTTGCACAGTGTCCCACATATCACCTCAGAGCTCAACCCTCAATCCCTTATTGTCTGTGTTCTAATGTTTCCTAATTAGTCTCTGCTCACACTAGTCTGCTCACTCAACTCACTGCCGTCAAGTCAGATCTGACTCATAGCAACCCCTCCTTGGGTTTCCGAGGCAGTATCACTACAGAAGTAGATTGCCCAATCTTCCTCCCAAGGAGTGGCTGGTGGGTTTGAACCACCAGACTTCTGGTTAGCAATCAAATGCCTTAGGCACTACGCCACCAGAGCTCCCACACTAGTTCTCTATAGCACTTTAGTTCTCTTATTAGTGTAGTGCTTAAGGCACTTGACTGCTAACCAGAAGGTTGGAGGTTCAAATCCACCGGCCACTCCTTTGAAGGACAATAGGGCAATCTACTTCCATAGTGATACTTCCTCGGAAACCCAAGGAGGGGTCGCTATGAGTCAGGTCCAACTCAACGGCACATAACAACAACAACATAGGTCTTATTAAGGAGCTCTGGTGGCATAAGGAGTAAGGTATTTGGCTGCTAACCAGAAGGTTGGTGGTTCAAACCCACCAGCTGCTCTGTGGGAAGAAGATGAGGCAACCTACTTCTGCAAAGATTTACAGCCTTGAAAACCCTATGGGGGTCACTATGAATCAGAATTGATGTGATGACAGTGGGTTTAGCTTTTATTAGGGAGCTCTGGTGGTGCAGTGGTTAAAGCATTAGGCTGCTAATCAAAAGGTCTGTAGTTCAAACTGACCAGCTCCCCTGTGGGAGAAAGACAAAGCAGTTAGCTTCTGTAAAGATTTACAGCCCTGGAAACCCTCTAGGGTAATATGACTATTTCTTATTGGGTCACTATGATCAGAACTGACTCAATAGCAATGGGGTGGGTTTAGCTCTCATTACCAGTTAATGTACTAAATGTTTTCTCTATTATTTGTTTAGTATTTGTATTCTCCCACTTGTCTGTAAGCTCCCCAAGATCATGGATTTTTTGTGCCTGGCATATACTAACTGCTCATTGAATATTTGTTGGTTAAATTTAATCAAAGAAATAATGAAACAAGCCATAAAGATTTATCACCAAAAAAACCACATTACAGCTGGTCTTAGCTCCACACCAGCATGTTCTTCTGTATACTTTCAAACTTAACAGGTTAAAACAAGGGAAGCTACGATGAAAATCATGCAGTATTTACTCTGTTTCTTCTCTCTAAAAGTGCCCTTAATTGAACACAAAAGGAAGGAAAGAATTATATGTGCTACCACTGCACAGGAAATATAAATGGTCAAGTTGAGATGAATTAGCCTTGAATTTTCAGTTTTCATTTTTTCAAGATGCTTTCTTAATCCTTAAAGACTGAATTATTTTCTACTTTGAATTTTTGTTGAAACCATGTGTTTTCAGTAATGGAAGGCATTTTAAATGAAATTGAAAAAAAAATTCAGATAATATGAATTTTGATACAATTACTGGACACACATGTCCAGAGGGGTCTTTCATACTAGAGTTGGTGGAATGAGGCCTATTTCTTCAGATCCACGTAGTTATAAGGCCCCTACCAGCTGGAAGCAGCAGCTAAAAGTGGTATAACAATCTTCCATTACACTCCAGAGGTGGAAAATTCAGGTGGGCACTATATGTCCCATAAGTCACAAAAGGGTTAACCTTGCCTTTTCCATACAGTCTACTAGATTAATATTATCTCAAAGATAATATCAACTTGACCACCAATTAGTTCTTATGTTCAATTAGCTCCTGAGATCAGGCCTATCTCTTTGCACCCCATTTTCTTCGACTTTGTAACACCATTAGTTTCCTTCCAATTAACAAATTATATGATTCCAGGTGTATTGACCATTTTTACTATAATAGCCAATTCATTACAGTTATTCCTACACCTGGATGTTTTATTTTTTTCACTATTGCCAGGATATTAGATTTTGTTTTAATTGCCTAATTTGTCTATTTCTTTAATAATACTGAATTTTAAATTGGTAAGAATCTATGCAGGGAAATAAATACACCATCAAGGGGTAGTGAGAGAGAAAAGGGATATAGCCTTTATTAAACACTTAAGTGCTGGGTACTTCCACATATACTATCTTATTTAGTCCCAGAATCAATGCTTGATGGTAGGAGAAAGACACTTTTTACAAAGGCTTTATCATCAACAACAATAGTTCATGTTAATAGAGTTCAGGAAAGGTGTAAAATATAATACTGTAAATGAATCTCCTCACTACTCTTCCCAGAAATCCTTTAAGATACCATTATCATCCCAGTTTTTCAAAAGAGCAAACTAAGGTTGACTAGAAAGGCTGAAACTTGCCCAAGGCCACCAAGCTATAAAGGGGCATACTGGGTTCATGCTCAAGTCTATTTTGGCCCAAACTATTTCTAGTATAAGCTGCTTCAATTCACCTAAATATAAAACAAATGAATAGCATAGTAATTAGTGCTTTATAGGTCATAAACTGGAAAAGTCATACCCTATTATGAGAAGAGTTAAACCATGAGTTTATTATTGTTAAGCTTTACTCATGCTAGACTTGTCAGAAGAGTCAACTTCTGACTGGCATTTTCTTAGGCACTTATAGGGACCTCAATGTGTCAGCAGTGATTTGAGGTATGTGAATGCTTGAATCTTCAAAGGAAAAGCCAAGGGCCAGAGTGAGAAGAGACAGAAAGAGGATGTCAACTGATTGGTAGCAGATGCCACCAATAAAGGTAAAA